AAAAAAAAAAAAAAAAAGCTTAAATTGCACTTGATTTTTATTTTTTGGGGGGTGGATTTTGCTTGGTCTTGTCCTCTTTTTCAAGTTCTGCTTGCCCACTGAATTTTATTCCCACCAAGATGGGAAGGCCCGGTGTGTCAAAGGCAAGGATAACCCATCCTGACGCCTTCCTGCATGAAATGCTTCAGCCCAGTTTGGCATTTTGGGCACGGAGCTCTTGGCAGATGTTTCTCTACTGATAATTAATTTAAAAAGAGTCGCCATTGTGACGGGCAAGGCAAAATATATGCTGCCGAACCTCAGCCCTGCTAATTTGCAGCAATTCACGGGGAAAAACCAGCATACAGCATCAGCTGACAGGATTGATTTCAGTTAACTTCATGCTTCCCTCAGGCAGATGGGGATTATATAGCTCTGCCTTCAGGAAGGCAGGCATTTGTTAATTGCATTCATTAGTTACATGGACTCTGCTGAATGGCGTTCTCACATGTGGAAAAAGGCAAAATGTTCAGTCACAGGTATTTATTTGTGATAAAAAATGCAAAGCCTTTAGCCAGTGATTGAAACAAAGACTTAACTGGACTGTCAGGCATTAACTAGCACAGTGTTATGGGAACGAAGTTCCCAACTTTATGTTCTAGTAAGTGATTATACTGAACCCAGTACCTAAAGCAGAGGTCAGCACACAACAACGATGCCACCAAACACATGAACTTTTTTACTAAATATTTACTAATATTTACTTTTTTTTACTGAATATTTACTAAAGATACAGAAAAATAAAGAAAAACTGAAGTAATGAAATACAAAGTGTTAAGACTTTGTTTTATTACCCTATTTTTTTTCTTGTCCCATTGCCTAGTTTTTTTAAGGATAACCTGCACAGCTCTAGATGGCAAAGCTGGCCACAATTCTTCTCTTGTGAAAACTCGGCAGGGGTGGGCTGAAATTTATTTACTTCATGCATCATTCTGCTTTTTCATGAAAATCACTACTGAAGAGAGAAAACAATCGCAAAATAGAGAGCGCAGTTTCTCATGTATCTGTTTGTACTTGCAGTCTTGCTGCTGGGCAAGCACAGGCCTTAAATGCTTCCCTGGTCATCAGCTTAGGGGGAGGTTCAAAAGCTGTGCCCCGAGGCAAGGAAGTCTGAGTTATTGAAAAGAAATTAGAGAGCAAGATGAGGAAGGAAAAAAAGATATGGAAATAGTAAAGGGTGGATGAAGGGGGAGATCTGAGCAGAAAGGCAGGAAAACAGTTGCTCTTTCTTCAAGCCACCGCGTGGTAAGGACACCTGCAGGATCAGCATAAGACCTAGGGTCTGCAAGAGATGGTGGGTGAGGAGAATATGGTGATGTGGTGAAGTGCTGAGAGGCTCTTCATTTGCTCTCAGCTGAATGCTGCGGCTCTCCGCTCTCCATTTTCCTGATTCTTAAATGAGTCTGAACTCTGACATATCAGTCTTCCATTCCCCTTTTCTTCACTGCTTGTGACCTGAAAACTGGCCTTGAGTGGTGTCAGAAGGCCTTTGAGGGTGAGCTCATCTAGTCTGAATGTCTCACCTTTTAAAAACTTTTTTTTTTTATGCGCTGGATTCCATTTCTCTCTCTTTAGACAGCTTGGAGTGAGAGACATTGAGGTTCTGGAGCGTGTGCAGAGAAGGGCAACAAGGCTGGTGAAGGGTCTGGAGAAAAAGTCCTATGAGGAGCAGCTGAGGGAACTGGGGTTGTTTAGCCTGCAGAAAAGGAGGCTGAGGGGAGACCTTATCACTCTCTACAGCTACCTGAAAGGAGGTTCTAGTGAGGTGGGGGTTCGTCTTTTCTCACAAGTAACAAGCAATAAGACAAGAGAAACAGCCTCAAGTTGCACCAGGGGAGGTTTAGATTGGGTATTAGGAAAGATTTCTTCACTGACAGGCTTCTCGAGCATTGGAACAGGTTGCCCAGGGAATCACCATCCCTGGAGGTATTTAAAAGGTGTGTAAATGTAGTGCTGAGGGACATGGTTTAGTGGGAACTTGGCAGTGTGAGGTTAACAGTTGGACTTGATGATTTAGATTTGTCTTTTCCAACCTAGACGATTCTATGATTCTATGCTTATGTAGTTTCTCACAGAGAGTGAGCTACAGTGATAGCATCCACCTGAGACTATCGCACCATAAGACTGATCCTTTAAAATACAGATGGAAATGCAACAAATTGGGAATATTCTGATTTAGATCAGTTCTTGGGGATTTTTTTTTTCCATTTTGGAGCTGGCAGCCTGATAAATCTGAGGGAGCAAAAGAAAAGTCTTTTGAGTAAATCCCTTAATTGCTTGACTTTAAGAAGATGCTTTCCTATATTCCTATATAAGATTCATCACCATTATAAAACTTGCAATTAATGGCGACTCTCAAGCAACCTGCTGATAACCTTCGCCATGCCTGTAGGCCCTGCAGTGCCAGAGCCCTACTGCAAAATCTTAAGATTCAATGGCAGAACCTTAAACAGGAGTAGCTTGCTGTGTGTATATCCTCAAGGCAGAGGAAGGGAGATGTTAAAAGACGGCACATTTAATTTTTAGCTCTATCAGCTGTTCTTCTAACTGGTTGTTTCACTGAGTATGTTTATAGCACTCTCCTAAATGGGTCTCTTGATAGCTTCTTCCTTAAATACCGCTTCTTTCAGACTACGAAAGCTCTTTGGGCAGGGGCAAGGCACACATTCATGGCCACACAACAGCACGTCAACCTCCTCTTCCTAAGGCCCTGGTGATGCATAGCTTTGAAGTCACTGAAGTAACATCACTTAATGTAGTGTTGTTCTCCTTTCAGGAATTCTCATCCATCACTATGTAAAACATCCTGTGAGTTTGTTTCAAGCTTTCTGCCTCATCACCTGCTGTGCTCATCAGATAAGCCGTGCTCTGAGTTCTCCTGGGAGGGTTTGGACCTGGGGAGACATGGCCTTCCGTGGCTGGAAGCGGCTCCTCCTCTTAGGCAGGCAGGACCCCTTTGCCAAGGCTTGGAGGAACAGGAGGGCAGTCCCCTCTCTGCGCTGGAAGCGCTGCTGCCACTGGAGTGCTGGCAAGTCTCTGGACCCTGAGGTGAAAGCGTTTTTGGAGGAGAACACAGAGGTCACCAGCAGTGGGCACCTCACGCCAGAGATACGACTACGCCTCCTCACCCCTCGCTGCAGGTTCTGGAGGGAAAAACCTGACCTGTGGCCTTACGGGGACCCGTTCTGGGCAATTTACTGGCCAGGAGGCCAAGCCCTCTCCAGGTATGCAGCATGCATCACCAAATATGTCAAGTCTGCTGCAGGCCAGGATGTCAGACCTGGCTCTGCTTGTAGTGATTCCTCACAAGATGTATTTGCCTTGTATGAGAGTGCATTATCCATATTCCTCTCTGCTCATACAGGAGAGACGCGATCTCTGCTGGCTGGCAGTGAAGTTTCAGCACCTGCTACGTATAGAATAACTTATGTCTTTTAAGTTGAAATCTGTGGTGATGCATGTGTTGAAAACAGGGCTGAATTTGGATCTGTGGAAGGGCTGTGCAGTTGCCATGAAAACCTAGCGAGGTGTTTAATTCTGTCACTCGTCGTCGCTCCAAACAGGAGGACTGCTATTTTGTCATAACACATGGTGGGTTTTTTTGGTAGGAGACAGACAGGAGTGTGGATGTGTGTCTGGTCTGTTGAGAAAAGTAGGTTTATGCTGATGCACTTGGAGTGCTGGTTGGCCTGAATCGCTCCCCTCATTTAAGAATCTCAGCAGCCTTATTGTCAAGCCTTCTTGTGGCTGTCTTTTAGTCACATCAGAAGCCATATTTTGATTTTGGCCACTTACTGTCAAAATGTCTTTAATGTTCCTGATTCCCAGGAACTAGTTAGGGTTCTTTTATTCTGTAAAGTCAAATCTCTCACTTTGAATAGCAGTAAAAGTTCATAATTGCTACAACAAAGAACAAGCTGCCAGACATTCCCCACATAGATGAAAGGGAAGGATCTGAATTGGGGCTTTGCTGTTTTTCTGCAAGAAAGCATAAATAGGAAGGCCTTTTTGACCAGGAAAAAGATGAGCCTTATTGTTAAATTGTGAGTTGATTAGCCTGCCATGTAGGTGAATTAGAGTGCTCCTAAACATCGCGTAATTAAATTAGGTAAGGTAATCTCTACATTTTGTTATCATATGACTTATATGCACACATATTTGGGTAGCAATAATAATTATCTGGCATTTCACCACTTTATTGACTTATGGTTTATGCACTTGTTTGATGTATTGGGAATGCCAAAAATTAGCTACATAATCTGGAAAAGTTAAAAAAAAAAAAAAGGGAACGTGAAAACGTGCTGCTTCCATAATTGTCCTCGTTTCACAGTTGGCATTGCCACATCAGGAGTTTCCTGTTTCAAGCTGTTTCTCTTGGTGTAACCCAAGAAACCTCGTTACTCACCATGGCAGACAGCAGTCTCCAACAGCAGCGTGATGCGCTGTGTGTGTGCCAGGGGATACAGTCGGTTCCAGCTGTCCTAAGTCACCACAATCATTACCGGTAACTTCAGAACCACTCGGCTGGAAACAAGGCACTTGCAGCATTAGGCCAGACCATGCTCTACATAAGTTACTGCTGGAAACTCATTGCAAATCCATAGACCCTACAAAGGGGAAACAGAGCACTTTCTGTGGAGGTCCCACCCCTGTCCTGTGCTCTGTTGGTAAGCTATGGGCTGTCCTCAGAGAAGTGATGGCCTCGGGGGGAGTGTTGCAAACCAACTGACCTACCGAGCCTCTGCACAAATGTCCTGCCTGGGTGCCCTCAGAAAAGACAACATCTGTGGATCTTCAAAGTAGCAAATAATCCTGCAACATTGTGGTGACAGTGTAACAAAGCTGGGGGCCAGACCTCATAGGAGAAGGTGACTGTCAGTACCGCTGAGCTGGTTTCACTCACTGGATTCATAACCACATACTCACAAGCACCAAGTTATGCACGTTCAACCTGTCTGGTAGGTTTCCATGTAGGACAAGAGGCATGGGATGTCAGGTCCTCACCTCTCGTGGTTCCTGATCTGGGTATTTTGTATCTTCAGTCCTGATCGTGACCTTCCTGCTGTGGCCTCTCACTAGCTTGAACTGTTCAGCTTGAGGGCAGGTTGTCTTTTCTTCTCCCATTCTGGGCTCCTAGGAAACTATACACAGATATGCAGGGATCTAGGTGCCATCAACACTTCACACTCTTATTAGGCCTCCTTCTGCCATTTCTGCTGGTGCTGCTATGCTCAGACATTTCCATCCATCCATTTGCCATTTACACCAATTTCCATTATGGTTCTCTGCAACCCACCTGCAAAAGCTGTGCTTACCAGTAGCCCTGTGTGAAGGGTCAGCTATCACCCTCCATGCCAGAAGATGACACAAATCTAGAGTCCTTTCCTGTTTCTACTTTTACAGAAGTTATGGCAATTGGTAGTAAATTTATGGCAATTTGCAGTAATTTATGTGACCTAGGGCTCTCCCCCTTGCAGGAGATTGAATTTCAAGGCAATTGTTAAAGTTCTGAACCCTCAGTAATGGCTATATGATTCGTAGTGTTTAACTGCTGCTTGCCTTCTGTCAAGTTCTTCTCCATTTCCAGCCTAGAGGTTTTTGCTTGCTGATTCCTTGTGGCAGGTGACAGCAACTAGATGAAGATACTCTTTCTGCTCACTGCTGCTCTATTCTCATTTTCTTGTTGTTACTCAGGAACAACATTGAGTAGACCAGAAGAATTTGCATCTGTGTCTGCATGGCTCAGGAAAAGAGAGAGGAGAAATTCCTCTTCTTCCCAGCCGTTGCATAAGCTGTATTTTAGGGCGATGGGTAGGCCTTGTCTTTTGACAGGTGCAATATTCACTGCCAATACACCTTAATGTTTCTTCAGATTGCTTTTAATTTCTACAAATCCTTACTTTCCTGTTTCTGATGCCAAGCATTTTAATCACCTTACAGTTTGTTCCCATTTATTAGATAAGCTCACCTGTCAGAGAAGGAGCTGACTGAAACAGAATGTTGCTTACTTGGCTGGCTTTCTTTTTGTTTGGGGGGTGAGGGAAAAGTAAGGCAAAAAGACGATGGTTCTTGATTTTTATATCATCAGAGACAAATAAGGAGCTATGTACCAGCTGCACACATGGAATAATGTTTTTAAGATACCATGCTTCATTACATGTGCGACAAGAACTCTTATGCAGTGTAATGCAAAACTGAGAAATTTACGTAATCTTGTTCATTGCTTTAACAGTTTTTCTTTTCAGGTATATTTTAGATAATCCATGCGTTGTCAAAGGACGATCGGTTTTGGATCTTGGAAGTGGATGTGGAGCAACAGCAATAGCTGCTGTGATGAGTGGTGCATCACAAGTCCTTGCTAATGACATCGACCCTAGTAAGACCATTTTTTTTTTGCCTCTGTATAAAGATATTTATCAATTTTTTAATGCACGTTTAACACAGACTTTTCTCTGCTTTGGAACCTGGGAGAAATTCAGGTTCCAAACAGAGTTCTAAGAATGCTAAAAAGATGAATGGATTTTGCCAGTATGAGAAGCTGGGCTGTACCAGCCTCTCTTGCATTCAGTATAACTCCACAGCTCCTTAGAATGAACAAACAGTAAAGTTTCTATCAAGTGTTGTCTGTACACCATCACAGCTGGTTTGGAAGAAAACTCCAAGCAGCAAGTTGTCTTCTCTGTAGGACCACAGCATTTTCCTGCACTTTGGGGCCTAGATTTTGCCTTCTTCTCCAAACTTTGTTTTCCCATAACTGACTTACAAATTCATAATTTAATTACTCATTGGTTAGGGAGGAAATATATCCATAGATTAAGGCAGTTGGATACTCTGGTTTGATTCCGCGATTGGTTTCCACTGGTATCCATTCAGGAATAGTTCTTCCCTGGGTCATGGTGCAATGAGGATAAAATTCTGTCACTTTATGCCAGTTTTTGACCCATAATGAAAACTGTGGAAGTCCCTAGATAGGAGAAACAAAAATATTTAAGAGGTGAAATTGAAAGGTGTGTCAATGAAACTTACAACAGGGCTGAACAGCAGAATCCTAAAAGGTAACTTTCACTTTACTTTGACTTTTCCTCAGTTGCAGGAATGGCAATGATCTTGAACTGTGAACTGAACCACCTGAATCCCTTCCCCATCACCATTAAGAACATAATTAATTCAGAGGCCGGCAACTGGGACCTCATTGTTCTAGGAGATATGTTTTATGATGAACAACTTGCTGACGGTCTGCATCGCTGGCTGAGGAAATGCATCAGGATACAGAAAACTGAAGTGCTCATTGGTGACCCTGGCAGGCATCAGTTTTTAAGCCACAGCATTCACAGTCAATTGCACAAAGTTATAGAATATTCACTTCCTGAGTATACTAGACAAGAAAACAATGGATTAACATCAAGTATCGTCTGGAGTTATCAGCCCTCAAACAGCTTAGAAAACTGTTGAAGCTGGCTTTCAAATGAATTTTGTCTCACTGGGTTGGCTTTTATTTTGTAAGTATATAAAATGAAAATGGGAATTAAACATGGAACATATCTGTTGACGCTAAGTAGATTACTGTACCTTCACTGTACTGATTTCAGTCATACTCACTGAGGCTTTCGCTCCATTTGAGGTAAAAACTACATGCAAACTATTCAAAGGGGCCTGCACCAAAGTGCAAATCCAAAGATAAGTTACATGTAAGAGTTTGCATGCTTGATGTTTTTCATGTATATTCACATCTGGCTCTCTGACACCATTGTGAAATGTTTTGGACATCCAGCATACTGCTGTGGGGAGAAGGTGGTGGCTGAAAGATTACTGCACTGCTTTCAAAGACTTTTGCAGCTTATTTACAGAGAAAATTATTGCTGTCTTTCATAAAACTCTCCGCTAGATTATTAGCTCATACTATGCTCAACTTGAAGTGCCTTGCTCTTTTTCTGGATCTCTCTTCTGAATGTCAAAGTAACTAATTCGAATCTTCCCCTTCCCCACTATAATAAAAATCTACTCTTCCTTGAAGCTGTCAGAGTGATTACTTAGGAGTTGCACACAAATCTAAAATATGCTTCTTGAACTATAGCTAAAGGAAAAGTTTTTAGTAAGCGGAAAGTAAATAGTAATAGCTATAGGGTAACTTTATCCTCTAGAGAGTAGGGTCAAATGATCTACATTCCCTAATTTTGCAGGGGTAAAAAAGGCAATCTATCATTGTGGAAAGCCAGTGAGGGATGAAGAAAACTTTCTTTCCATGATGCTTCTGAACAGAAAGTAACTAAATAAAAACAGGGAATAAACGTTTGATGTAATTACTTTTCTCTTGAGGAGAACTTGCTGGATAACAAGCTCCAGAATCATTCTCAGCTACATCTGTCAACTAAAAACCCTCTGCCATGTAAAAAAGGAAATTTGATCCACAGGTGAGAGGCTTTAAATGCAGCCATAGGAAGAAGAAACCAGTGTTTTCAGAGCAGTCTGTCAGGAACTGTCACCTTTAGCAGTTAACTATTGAACAGGCAGTGATGGAGAACTAACTGCAGAATGGAACACAATGCACCTACAACTATCCAAATACCAGGTGATGTGGTAGAAGCCTATAAAAATGAAGAAGTATGTGGGACTCACTCAGAAAGCCATGGTGTTTATGAATTAGGAGGTTTAGGACCACATTCAGATGTACATGGTCATAAAATATAATTTAAGAAGTTTTCAGAGCTATCCCAATGGAAAACTTATAAACTTTAATCTTCAGAACAATACGCGAATATTCTGCAGTGCTCACTCAACAATTTACAACAATAACAACATCCAAACAATACAGAATATGAAGTGGTAAGTTCTTCTCCCACTTCACCCAACACTTGTAAACATTTGTGGAAAATAACTGCGACTTAACTTGAATCAAAAAATATTCCACTGGAGCTATGCTGGTAACAAACCCATAAGAGACCTGAGTCAAGCTCCAGCAGTGAAGGATTCAACATGACTTGCATTAAACTTTCAAACCTAAAAATACAGTGTTAATTCATTGCAGTGTTGTACAGATTTTTAAGCACAAGGTAGGGATATACCACTAAGTTACACATTTAGAAGAGGTTATAGGAGAACGCGGTAAATCTACATGCACATTTAAGGACACAATGTAAGCTGCATTTGCCTTCAAGATGACAAATCCAAGGTTACATTAGCAAGGGGAAGAAGCACAACTTTTCCAGTGAGATTAGCAGTAGCACTCTCCCACAGACAGAAATTTTTTTTAAGTGTCCTTTGCTGTTACAGAATTTGGTGGTCTTCCACCTTTAGCTGCTTTACATTATCTCCATTTATAACTTTCTTTCTGGATGTAGCACTTGGGGTGAGAGTCTGGCAACCATCACTGCACTACTATGTTATAGTAACATGTCATACAATAACAGACTGAGGGAACAGGGCTTGTTCAGCTTGGAGAAGAGAAGGCTTCAAGGGACCTATGAGGAACCTGCCTATATCTATGAGGAGGTTGTAAGGATGACAGCCAGGCTCTTTCAGCAACAAAGGGTGTAAATTGAAACAAAATAGGGTCAAACAGGATAGAAGGATTTTTTTTTTCCACCATTAATACAGTCAAATAGTGGAACAAGATGCCTCAAAAGGTTGTGAAGGCTCTGTCATCTTCTTTCAAGATTTGTTTGTATAAAGCCCCGACTAAGGTGCTCTGAGCTGGCCCTGCTTTGGGCAGGAAGTTACGACTAGAAACCTCCCGAGGCCCCTTTCCACTGGAGTTAGCTTACAATTCTACGTACTCTTTTTGTGGCACCCTTCCTGAAACCAGGACTGGCAGCCTGATCCTTATGCTTTACTTATTTTACAGGATTACTGAGCATGTTAAGTGCTGCTGCCTAATCACCTAGATGAATTAGTATGAAAAAGAATGCAAAACAAATTTATTGCCAGCTCATGTCCAAAAGTTCAAAGGAATGATGGGCCCTGATTGATACCAGGAATTCCACATGGCAAACCAATAAACTTAAGCCAAATAAAGGAATAAAATCTGGTTGATTAAAACAGGAACCTACATATATATTTAGGTTCTTAGGCCTCTATCGGGTCCAAGGATTTGCTGCAATTACAGCCTTCAAATGCTACTTGCTAATGTAGCAAAACCAACTTGTGTTTGCAAGAATGGTTTGCAGTTATACCTATAGGTATCACAGGAACACATACATCACTAGGCTGAACCATCGTACTGCATGCAACAAGAATTAGGGATTTAGGCACTGAAGTCTGATAATTATGCTTTCATTTACACTTGAATAAGTTTTCTAAATGGACTTGCTCTTCCATAAGCCATGTAATCAACAGAAGAACAGAGATTATTGTCAGACATCATAATATCCCTTAATATTACTGGATGCAACATATTATATTATTATCTTCCATGCAATTTGACCTGAACTTTAAATAGATTAGTAGAAGACTGTTTTATTTCTCTGACACTTAAAATGCATATGGCTATGACAAGTGTTAAATTATGAAGTAAACATATTCCTTATGGTTGCCTGAACTCCTGGGTTTCTAAGTGTCATCAGATCCATGTAAGACCTCCCTAGCCAAACCCTGCTATTTCCAGATGCAGAGTATCAACAGTGTGCTACCTGCCCTGTAGAATGCTAAAATTGCTAGCATTTATAAAAGTTTAATGTAGAATTCATAAAAGTCTCACTAGAAATCATGCTATTTCAATAAAGCCAGTGAACATGACATAACTGTGATGAGACTACTGCTCCATCATGTAATAAGCTCATTCTACACGTCTAAATATTTTTTTTCCAATTGAACAATATATAAATGGTTATATTTTCAACTTCTGGAGGCCGCTGGAGATATTATAAACTGCATATAGCAGAACACATACTCTCCTGAACTCCACCATCCTGAGATTCATGTACTCAAACATTGTTTGGTCCTATTTCACTCACAGCTATGCTTATGAGGACCAATGTTTTGTTCCCTAAAAGGATTTTCATGCAGGAATACCGGCAAAAGCCAGAGCAAATAATTATTTTCCTATATACAAGATTCTTTTATTGGTCACAACTACTACTCTGAAGTTTGTTAAGTCACAATAATTTTAAAACAATGTTATGTTTACATATTCACAGACTACTTCTGAATGTATAAAAATCCAGTAGGTATTTGAAGGTAAATAAAACCAGAAACCTGCAGCATCAGTAACATCAAAAGAAAAGTACTTATGTTTTTTCCTCTGGACCTAGCAGAAGTAGATGGTAAAAGGAGACTGTTACTACTTAAAATACATTTGCATTGCTGTTAACGCCACCTCCATTCACCAGTTCTGTCTGTTGACTTTTGTCAGATTAAAGTCCCAACTTTACGGACACTTCTGTGTAAGTGTTAATACTATGTTTGGGCTTGCTACTTTTAGTTATAACTACGCTCTCAGACCCCAAAACTCAGCACAGGGACTCACTTAAACTGGGTTTGTATATGTAGCTAAGATGCTAAAAGATGGCAAGTAGTTGCCAAATCTGATACTTCAAGAGGAGGCTGAGAGATAACAGTGTAATATTAATTATAGTTTAACTTTGCTCTTAATGAAGCATGATCAGCGCTGGAAAGACAGATAGGGCTCCAAGTAGAGACAACTGGGAAGCCCAGACTTACAGGCAAGGACTGGAATGGTGACAGAGACCTCTGGTGGGAAGAAGGAGGGAAGCAATCTGGTAGTACATAAGTCACCAGCTATTTCTCCAAGGAGCTTGCTTTCTGAAAGAGCTCTCCCATCTGTAAACTTTACACTCACATGTACACGATAAACAATCAGTAAACAGTCCATGTTACTTGTTTGATTTTGTTTGATATGACTAGCTGCTCTAAAACATCTCGGGAACGATCTGCAAAAGAACCAAGGAATTTCTTGTTATTCATTCAGAATATATATAGGTGGTGTTTAGAAATTAGGTAAACAGCAAAATAATTAAATTATATATCTGCATTTATGCTTATCTTGCTATCACAATATCCCATTTCAGATATACCTGTAGTGCTTCAAAACCACTCCATTCTTTATCCAATCACATAACTGTAAAGCATCACCATAACTGAACTTAAAAAAATCCCCCAAGATAAGATCATAACCTCTCTTAAGTCTGCTTTCTTTTCAGACTGACCAGTCCTACCCCATTCCACTGTTTCTTGAATGGATGCTATTGCATATTTTTGGAATAGAATAGGGGTTTAAGATGCTAAAATATTTTTCTGAAGTCTTACCATCAACTTTGGGTCTTCATCAGCATGTTGGGGGGTGGGAGAGAAGGAAAGAAAAAAAATTCCAAACTCCAAAACAACAAAAAAGATCCCTCTCTGAAGGTTGCTGTATTTCAAAGCAAAACTCTCACATCATCTTTTATGATTATCATTTTATCTAGTAAGTTATTATTTGTTTGGGATTATTTACAATGCATAGTGTGCTTTTTCAGTGAGCAAGAAGATACTATCAGGAAGTAATTACTCTTCTTACTCCCTGCACGATTTGACCTACCTGTCACCAATGGGCATCCATGGAACAGAAAAATGTGTATCTTCGGGCAACAAGTAAGGACTGCTTCCACAGCAACATCAGTCAGATTCACACAGCGTTCCATGTGGATCTCCTGATAAGAAAATAGTAATAACAAAAGCCTGTCAGAGCACCTATAGTTTTGGAGGCAGAGCTTTCCTTTGCCCAACCATTTTCAGAGATCCGCACCCAGAAGAAATTATGACCTACTCCTCCCCTGTGCATTGATCCCATAT